ATTCCACCCCCCTCGATGAAATATTTCTGAAAATTGCCGAATCACCCGTATACTTACTCCATCTTCCAAGCCGCTCCACCCAAATTGCAAATTTGACCCCAAAGTGGAACTCTCTTTCACTATTCAAAATATCTGCCACATTTACGAAAATTCGCAATACCAAGCATAAAATCTTATGATTTATGATTCAATTCATTCATATCTATGTCGACTCAAATGTTAAAATAAATTTTAAATATCAAGAAATTGATCAAATTTTATGATTTTTGGTCCCTATATTATATACATTTTTTTTTGGTCCTTAAGCCAGAAATGCACCCCATGTGGGGGTCAATTTGTAATTTCTAGAAATCCACCTCCCTAGGTGAAACAGTTTTGAAAATTGCAGAATCACCCCTATACTTAGTCCATCTTCCCAGTGGACCTCTCTTGCAATATCCGAAATATCCGCCACCAACGCAGTATGTCTCTACTCTTCCTCTGCTACAATCGCGTGTGACTCATTTACAAAAATTCGCAATACCAAGTTTAAAATCGTTTGATTTACGATTCAAATCTTACAATTCAATTCGTTCATACCTAAGTCGATTCAAAATTCAAATAAATCTCAAATATCAACAAAAAGATCAAATTTTACGATTTACGATTTAAGAAAATTTTAATTTATTATATTATTTTTAATAAACTTTTGATAATTACAGTTTTGGTCCATATGTTAAATACCATTTTTAATTTTGGTCCTTAAACCGGAAATGCCCCCTAAGTGGACGTCAATTTGTAATTTCCGAAAATCCACCTCCCTCGATGAAACATTTCGGAGAATTGCAGAATCACCCGTATACTTACTCCATCTTCCGAGCCGCTCCGCCCAAATTGCAAATTTGACCACAAAGTGGAACTCTCTTTCACTATTCAAAATATCCACCACATTTACGAAAATTCGCAATGCCGGGCATAAAATCTTATGATTTATGATTCAATTCATTCATATTTATGTCGACTCAAATGTTAAAATAAATCTTAAATATCAACAAATCGATCAAATTTTACAATTTTTGGTCCCTATATTATATACATTTTTTTTTGGTCCTTAAGCCAGAAATGCACCCCAAGTGGGGCTCAATTTGTACTTTCTAGAAATCCACCTTCCTAACTGAAATAATTTTGAAAATTGCAGAATCACCTCTATACTTACTCCATCTTCCCAACCGCTCCACTCAAATTGCAATTTAACCCCAAAGTGGATCTTTCTTATAATATCCGAAATATCCGCCTACAATGCAGTATGCTTCTACTCCTCCTTAGCTATAATCGCGTGTTACTGATTGACAAAAATTCGCAATCCGAGTTTAAAATCTTATGATTTACGATTCAAATCTTACGATTCAATTCGTTCATACCTAAGTCGATTCAAAAGTTAAAATAAATCTTAAATATCAACAAAACGATCAAATTTTACGATATACGATTTAAGAAAACTTTAATTTATTATATTATTTTAATAAACTTTTGATAATTACAGTTTTGGTCCCTATATTATATATCATCTTTAATTTTGGTCCTTCAACCGGAGATGCCCCCAAGTGGATGTCAAATTGAAATTTCCGAAAGTCCACCTCCATGGATGAAAAAGTTCTGAAAATTGCAGAATCACCCCTATACTTGCTCCCATCTTCCTCGCCTCTCCACCCAAATTGTAAATTTGACCCCAAAGGGGATCTCTCTTTCACTATCCATAATATCCGCCACATTTACGAAAATTCGCAATACCGAGCATAAATCTTATGATTTACGATTGAAATCTCACGATTCAGTTCATTCATATCTATGTCGATTCAAATGTTAAAATAAATCTTAAATATCAAAAAAAGATCAAATTTTACGATGTTTGGTCCCTATATTATATACTTTGGAACAGTGTTGCAAAGCTAGAGGGCACAACTGTATAGAAGACTTTCCTGTTGTAATGACAATAGACTTAGTCACCTGCTTAGGTGATGATATATTTCTATCAACTCCTGCTTCATCACTGCACCTCTCTTATTTTTACACTTATTCAAACACTAATTTCAGCTAACTAAAGTTTGTCTTATACATTTATCACAGGCTAAATTTTGTCTATATTATTTTAATACAGCTATGTTAATGCAAATAAAAATTAACAAATGTAACGTTGATAATACTATATACAACCAATATGCCGTAACAAATATTCACCGCATGCCATTGTGTGCCAATCTAGAACCGCATTCTCCTCTTCCTAATCAGTATCATCCATCGCAAAATTGAGTCCAGCAATAATCACGTACGCACATTCTATCCATTACATATCATCAAGGTTCTAAATATCGGTTATCGGGTCCGAGGCGGTTAGGAACCGCTACACGATAAATCGGCGCGGCGGTGATTAATCGGAGATATATGGGAAATAAATCGGTTTTTAAATTTAGTGTAATATATTTCTAAATATTATTTGTAAATACATAAAAACGTATAAAAAAAATTGAACATGATTCTCTCCTCATCGTTTATATATTATAATCACATAACAAAAGTTTAATAATAGTGAGATACAGAATGCCGCCGCGGTGTGTGGATTGTTTTGTGTTTTTTTTTCAAGGTCAGGTTCTTCTTACGGGGTCGGTAATTTTGGGTTTGATTGAAAGAGATAATGAATTATAATTAAAAAATATAAAAAAATAAAAAATAAACACCCTATTTTCCTTCTAATAAAAAAATAAAAAAAATAAAAAAAATATTTTTCCGATATATCGTTCGAAGTTTGACCTAATATATCGGTTTGACACGCCACAAACCGCCACATACCGCCTCGGACCGCCTCACCGTCCAAAAACCGATTTTCAAAACCGCCACACATATATCGTAAAGGTTTATGTCCGCCACCGATATGGCGGCCGATATATCGGCCGCCACGACCGATATTTAGAACACTGCATATCATAGAATACTAGCTTGTATAACATCACTTCTGTATCATTAATAAATATATTTTTTGGTCTTTTACCTTTTTACATATCAATATTATTCTTATTTCATAACCCGTCTCACCTTATATAATGCTCTGTTTTAATGTGACACTTATATTCAGTCTTCTAATTTTGATTAGGATATGGGGGCAACTTTGACGCGTCACATGTAGCGTATCATCAACCCCTTCAAATTCACGCCAGCATAAATAAAACACATTTTGCAAATATGTAAACAGGGCACCGGCACCGTACACTGCACAGTGCTCCTCACCCGGTGTGTGTGTGTGTGTGTGTGTGTATGTGTGTGTGTGTGTGTGTATAGAATGCATAATCCACTTCATTTCCAGAGTATAATCTCAATGGAATATTAATCCTCAAAATATAATTAATTTGCAATCGCGAACAAAGAGACAAGAACGCCAATCCTTATATTAGGACATCTCACATGGCATCTTTAGTACAATAATTGGAGTAGTAACAAAAGAGTTGAAAGATTCCTTGATCCTTAATTCTTTTACTCTTCCATTAACAAAATTAAATCATTTTTTTCAAATTAATTAATATATTGAGTCAAGTATATTCCTTGACGAAATTAAATCTCACAGCCATATATACTTTTATTTTGGGAATTCTCTTTGAAAAGCTTAATTTATATTGGAAAAACAGTGAGAAAAAATAATCTAAAACATTGTCTTGTATTTCGGAAGAACATAAAAAAAGGAAAAAAAAAAAAAAAAAGAGAAGATAAAACTTTAAAATATATTATGTTCAATGACAATAACACTCTGCATTAATTGACTGGTCAACGCAGAAATATTAGTGTACAAATTTCTTATAATTGTTACAGGCTTACAGCTAGTGGTTAAAATTTCTCAATTTGTTAAATTAAAGAGATTTCTGTAAATTTAAGATTTGAGGATAATTTTTGTTATTAAAAGGGATTTGAAGTTGTTCAGATAAATGATTTTTTTTGTGTGAACCAATTGGTTAAAAGGTATAAATAATAAAAAGGGAAAATTACAGTTTTCACTCCTCAATTTGCACTAACCCCTTCAACACTTTTGGTCATTTCCGTCAATTTACTGTTAATTCATCAGTTAAGACAGTGACGGGCACAAACTTGATTCCGTTAGTACTAACGGAAAATTGACGGAAATGACTAAAAGTGTTAAATTTTTGATATATGATGGACAAAGTGTGTTTTTTATGGACATTGAGGACCAAATGTGAAATCCGTACAAACTTGAGGGATGAGAACTGTACCATTTACCGTTAGTTAAGGTAGTGATGGGAACACACTTGATTCCGCTAGTTTTAACAGAAAATTGACGAAACGCTAAAAATGTTGAATTTCTGAAATATAAGCAACCAAATGTATTTTTCTGTGAATATAGAGGACCAAATGTAAAATTTGTGCAAACATGGGTTGAAAACTGTAATTTTGCCATAAATAAAAACTAAACCATGTCACAAGAAATCCATTTTCCAATAATATAAGATAGTAAATAAAATCCAAATCCAGGTGAAATAATATGAGTAAACTGCAAAAACTACCCATGTGTAATCTTGAAATAGCAAAAACCCCCCTGTGATAAATAAACTAGCAAAACCCCCCCTGTGAAATTATTTAAATAGCAAAAACCCCCCTATGGAACTATTTGAGGGTTGACTTGATATAAAAAGACACAAATACCCCTGGAGTCTTGCAATTAATAAATTCTTATATTTTATAAATATTTTAATTATTTTATTTAAAAAATAATCAATTTAGTTGTTTACTATTTTTTTTAATTTCTAAACAAATAAATTAAAAATAATAAATATACATATAATATGTATATATATAAATACATTTTGAGGGACAATTTTGTCATTTCAAGTCTAAAAAATCAGCTAGGGGGGATTCTGCCTTTGACTAAATTTCACAGGGGGGTTTTTGCTAGTTTATTTATCACAGGGGGGTTTTTGCTATTTCGAGATAACACAGGGGTAGTATTTGCAATTTACTCGAAATAATATACCACACCTTAACAAACATTGATGCGTTATTCTTTGTTATTCCAATATCGACTAGTCACTCCCAATCCAGTAAATTATCATACATAAATATATATATAAAAATAAAAATAAAAATAAAAATAAAAAGAAAATAGAGAATAATGAAAAGCATAATAAATTAATAATACAACATATTCATTTAAACTAGAAAACAGGACCACTCATTCTTCTCAGTTGATAGCGACGCTGTGCAGAACCACCGTCTCCACCGTCAGGCCCGGCCCGAACCCGAAAAGCACACCCCAGTTCAGCCCTTCTCCGGTGGTGCTCATCCCCTCCTTGGCGGATGACTTCCTCATTTCGTCCAGTATGAATAGCACGCACGCGCTCGACATGTTCCCGTACTCGCTCAGCACGTGCCTTGTCGACCGGAGTTTCTCCGGCTTGAGTGCTAGAGTTGACTCCACCTGGTCAAGAATCGCCGGACCGCCGGGGTGAGCTATCCAGAAAATGGAGTTCCAGTCGGAGATTCCCAGTGGATCAAACGCCTCCTTCAAGCTTTTTCCGATGTGCTTCGAAATCAGGCCTGGAACATCTTTCAGTAGGTGGAAAGTTAAACCCACTTCCCGGAGGTGCCCGTCGATGGCGCCGTGGCTGTCCGGCAGAAGCGTCTGCGCCGCCGAGACGAGCTGGAACAGCGGCCTCTCAACTCCGACCACCGGGTCGGAGCCGACAATGACGGCGGCGGCGCCGTCACCGAACAAAGCCTGTCCGACGAGGCTGTCGAGGTGGCTGCCGTTGGGTCCCCGGAAAGTGACGGCGGTGATTTCAGAGCAAACAACCAAAACCCTAGCGCCGGCGTTGTTCTCGGCGAGATCCTTGGCCATGCGGAGAACAGTGCCGCCGGCGAAGCAGCCCTGCTGGTACATCATGAAACGTTTGACGGAGGGGCGGAGGCCGAGGAGTTTGGTCAGCTGGTAGTCGCAGCCGGGCATATCGACGCCGCTGGTGGTGCAGAAAACGAGGTGGGTGATCTTTGATTTCGGCTGACCCCATTCTTTTATGGCCTTCTGTGCAGCTTCTTTCCCGAGCTTCGGGACCTCCACCACAACTATGTCCTGACGCGCGTCAAGAGAAGGTGCCATGTACGCGCACATGTTCGGATTCTCCTTCAGTATTTCTTCCGTCAAGTGCATGTACCGCTTCTTTATCTGCGATTTCTCGCCTGTGTTGTTGTTTTCAATAAACAGTGTTTAGATTTATAGAAACATCCAAATCAGGAAAAAAAATCAACTACAGAATAATGAAATTAATATCAAATCTACCTAATTTGGATAAAATGAAATAAATTGGAAATCCCAGAATTAAATAGTTTAATGTAATAATTAAACGACACAATTTATGTGTCTCACTTGCCGGACCCCTTTAGACACGTCAATATATATATATATATATATATATATATATATATATATATATATATATATATATATACACCCCTTAACGAAACATTTGGAAAAAGAGAAGAAATCCGAAAGAGAAATTAAAAAAAAAAAAAAAAAAAATCTTACACATGCGCTGAAATTTTTCCTTAAGATCGGTCATATGTTCGCTATTAGTGATGCGAAAATAGAAATCAGGGTACTCGGTCTGTTCGACGCAGTTCGCGGGAGTAGCGGTCCCGATGGCGAGGATGGTGGCGGGGCCCTCCGCCCGTTGAGCCCGGCGGATATCCTCAATGCTAGCGGCGGCCATTTTCGCCGGAGAAAAAGGTAGGTTTCAGCGGTGGTGGTGGTGGTGGTGCAAATGTTGTTGTTTAGGGTTGATAGTGAATTATGAGAGGGAGTGTACAAAAGGGGTATTTATATATATAAAGGATGTTGTGTATGCAGCTTATAAGTTTTTTTGGTAGCTGAGGTTGGTTCACGTGGTTAAGTAGCAGCAAAACTTGAGGTGGAGAAATTGGCAGGCACGTGGCGCAAACTATCAACATAATTCTAACATTCTTGCTACCTAATTTTTTTTTTTTCTTTTTTTCTGAATTTTAATTATTTATTTTAATTATTTATTTAATGTTTTGTAAATACTGTATAGTGGTCTATTCAATTACGCTTTTTACACCATTATTGATAATACTGGGACAACTGGGAATTCAATTAAATGGTAGATGCAATAATAGGTATAGCTTGAGAAACCTAAATAAAATTGAATGAACCGACAAAAGGGAACCAATAATTTGTAACAAATAATTCTATTTAATTACCATAAAAATCTTAGTTGCATTTTGCATTATTAACTTATAGTTAAAAAATAAATATACACCCGAGGGGATCTGAACCTCCGACATATTATCGAATTGGCTAAACTTATTTTAAATAGCTGATAAGCTCTGATGTATAATTATGTTATTTTAAGAGCTGATAAGTTTCTACTACATATTTTTAGAATTTGGTTTTTAAAGTGTTTTGATAATGAACTTATAAGCTATTTTTACTAATTATAAGATCTTAAATAAAAATGTCGGATAAATGAACTTTGTAAAAAAAATCTTAAAAGCTCTCTAGCAGCTTATTTTATGAATTTTTAAGATTTTTGTTTTTTAATATAAGCTCTTTTTACCAGATTATAAGCTTAGCCAAACACCCTCTTAGGCTTCCGGAAAAAAATAACATTTAGATGTATGCATTGGTTTTGGTTAAGATGCATATACACATGAATATGAAGTTTAAAAACAATCAAAAGATGAATTTAATTAGTTTTCAAACTGAGGTTAAAAAGGGTAAAAAAGTTAATTTGCCTAATTAAACAGTCCAATAATATAGTAAGTACTATGAACCCCTATTCAGCAAATCAGTTGAGAAATGTTAAGTTTGGCATTAGGTGGGAAAGTTATTTGTGTGACCTAAAATTTGTAGTAAAAAATGGGTAAATCTTTTATTTATGTTGTCAAAAATTAAGGATAAATTTCTGTCCAAGGATTGTGTTTTCCTACAAATAGGGATGACAATAATAAAATAAAATAAAATAAAATAAAATAAAACAACATCTCCGAAATTCATTTTTCATATTCAGTGACGGAATCAGAATTTTTCGACTAGATGCGATATATGTAAATATATTTTTTTGTACGCTTGTTCGGTGATGCAAATATATATATAATCCTATTAAAATGAAAGTTTAAAATTTTAAATTATAAAATACACAAAAAATACCATAAATGAAAAAAAAAATCTTATTGCAAAATTCAAATTTTTCTTATTTAAATTATTATAAAACATTAAAATTTATGTAAAATTAGTTCACATAATCAAAATTCAAATTTTTCGTATTGCAAGTTATTACGATTTCAATAATTACCAGAAATTGGAAAAGGACAATTTTGCTCTAAACATCGCAAAATTCTGACGTATTTTCGTAGCAAAGTTGTCGTTTTTTTCGTGATTCATCAGATGGCTTAAATAAGACTTGTTTTTAGTAAATAATTAATGAGGAATTTTAATGAAAATCTAAAATAATTTTAATACGAAACTACGAAACAAACAGAAATAGATAACGAAAATGACAGTGTTAACAAAACATGTAGTATTAGAAAACGCAACACCTAATTTATTGTATATGGGAAGTTAGGTACCTGAATAAAAAAAATTGTGTAAACAATCCATGTGCATGGTAACAAAAACAAAATTGATTGAGATTAAAATTTACCTAACTACATGGAAAAATAAATTATTTATATGATCTAAAGAATTGTATATAAAATCAAATCATACAACCTTGGAAATCCTTATTTATTTATAAATTTCAAGTTCTAAATGAAATACTTAATCGTACTTCGCCCTTAAAAAAATACACGTAATCTCAAATTCGATATCTTAGTTAAATAGAACATAAAAAACAATCAATTTTTATATATTAGTTAAATAAAAAAAAATTGATTTTCCTACACTACAAGAAAAAAAAAAATTGGATTTCAGTGACAATAGTTGTCGATATAGAACAAACATTTGTCGCTAAAAAGAATCAGTGGCAAAATATTACGTTGTTTCTGCGTTATTAAATAATCTCTCGAACGAGAGTTGAATTAGCAGATCGATCGAGGTTATGATTTGCAAGTTATAACGATGAACTTTCGGGAAATAAAAAGTTAGTAATTTAATTGCAAATTTTAGTGACAATTAACTTTAAAATAAAATAAATAAACTTCTACGAAAAATTGATTACGTGTTTCTATCTCTTCCTATCTTCTCATATGGAGTGTTTCACAAAAATATTTATTCATACGGAAATTAAAAACGTATAACTTTTGTTAAGTGATCATTTATATGTGTGTGACAGTATATAAATGCAATTTTATCTCTCCTAATCCTCATTTTCTTAATAATTATAAATGTATATATTAGTGTAACTTTGGTCACAATGAGTTGTGAATTGAATATTTAAAACTTAGTGAGGGTATAATGGATTTAGGAATGCAGAATCAAACGTTGGGTGGCGCGAGCAAAAGTTTCGGTTTTCGGTGCAGTGCCTCGATTTTTTTTTAGATTCTCAAGACATTGCAAATAAGGTTTATATTGCTAATTTTCAATTAAAATAATATATATTATAATCTTATCATATTTCAAGCATGCAAAAAAAGAAAAAATATACTACTTATCCAAATGATTCTAATAATGTATTGTATTGCACTTAATATTTGTGTCGACCTCAAAGCATTACCCTAAATTATTTTTCAGAGGAATAATAAAAAAAATCATAAATTTTATTTTTATTGTTATATTAAATATGATTTCATATCTATTATTTATATAAGATCATAGAGAAAAAAAAACATTAAAAAAAATAAAGGGTCGCATATTTGCAAAAACTTGTAGGGGCCAAAACAAATACTCTAAAAGTATAATTACAAAATACCTAACATTATAATCACTTCGGGCTTGAGAATTTGTGGATTTTCACCAACAAAATGAATAAAAATGATAAGGATATTTTCGTAAAATAATAGAGTGAGGGGTTTCCTATAATAAAAGAAGAGCGAGGGGCTTTACTCTAATTTTGACAATTTGGTGGTAGTTGAAATTTGGACTCATTTTTTCCATTTGTCGTGATTTTGAAATATCATGTCACACTTGTATGAAAGAGAGGAATATGTCATTAAATAGGAAACAACTTAAACATGATTTTGAAATTGAGCAAATCCGAAAACTAATAATCATTTATTTATTTTAAATTCTTAAAAAAGAATACGATGTTATATACTCCCTCCGTTCCTTATTAACTGTCGTTTTTGGCTTTGCACAAGTATTAAGAAACTCAATAAATGTGTTTTGATTTTAGGTAAAATACATTAGAAAGACTAAAATAACCTTGATTATTTAATGATGTGATAAGAGAAAGTTAATACTTACTTATAGTTGAATTAATAAGGTTAAAATAGGAAAAAAAATGCATTTAATGCAGTATTGGAAATGTAAAGTGACAGATAATATGGAACAAAAATATTTTTAAAAAGAGACAGTTATTGTGGAACAGAGGGAGTAAAATAAATAATTAAATTTCGTGTATGTATACCCAACATTCAACAAACCACTGTAACACAATTATTTCACCAAATTTGTTGGAACTTATGACCTAATTTTAATGCATAAATAAATTGTGAGCTTCTTACATAGTGTAACATTTATTGATCAAAATCCAAAAACTAATGTCATCTAAATTCTTTTCTACAAAGGCCAACTACCCTAGGCATCTCGTGGACAACCTAAGGCCAAAGGAAACACACACACACACACACAATATATATATATATATATATATATATATATATATATATATATATATATATATATATATATATATATATATATATATATATATACATATATATATATATATATATATATATATATATATATATATACGTCATGCTATCGATATATCAATACGCAATGGCAAGGTGTCTTTACATTAAAACGTATATATCTCCATTTACTCCACAATAGATATTAACCACCACCGTCCCTAGGTGTTCTTATCCGTCTCCAAATCTATCAATCTCTCTCTCAATGTAAAACCATCTATCTATCAATCCAAATACATCTATGTCTGGAGATATCCAT